CCCCTCCTCCCTCCCTCTCATAGACTGTTTTGCTCCTGGTTTTCTAGTTCTCTGGTATGCACCACTTGCTTATTGAGATCAGCATGAACCAGAGAGCATGCAAAAATGGTTGTCCATCTCCCCGAGTCTCTACTCAGGGTAAAGACAGGTCCAGACACTTCAGACATAGGTCCCAGCTGTCTAAATGAACATTCACCATGGATACTAAGAGTGGGTTTTACTTTGTGCAAATTTTAGTTACAGTATCTTACTTTACTTTCTGTTCTTATGCAGCTTAAGGATGCGCCTTAAGACCTAACTGTTTGCCTTTTGTGTAAATCTTGCTTATTGCTTCTAATTACTATATTGAAACCAAGATATAAAGCTGGGCATGGTGGCGCACACCTTTAAGCCTAGCACTGGCATGGCAGTGCTGTCTACACAGTAAGCTCCGTGCCAGCCAATGTTACTTAGTGAGACGCTATGTAACTCACTTGGCTTCGTTGAGCTAAAGATCAAAGGCTGGAGAGAATACAATGAAATGCATTTTAAGATTGAGTGCCCCACGGGCCCTGGATGTAGGCCTGATGTGCCAGCCAAGGCTGGAGTGAAAGGTCAGGACCAGGCTGGGATGCAGAGCGAGGTGAAGGCCATGTTGGAAATTTAGTGAGGCCCTGTCCCAAAATAAAAAAGGAGAGAGAAGGCTGGGATATAGCTGAGTGCCAAAGTGCTTCCCTGGCATGTACTCCCCAGTGTCACCAAGACAAACAAGCGAGCCCAAGAGTAAGTCGGTTCAGTCTAGAAGCCTTGCTCTATCTGTTTTAAATAAATTGTCTGTTGCGTGTTTTGGTTTTGTTTTGTCTTTGTCTGTGTCAAGTCTACTAGAGTATGCAGGAGGCATGCCTGGTCTAAAAGAAAAACTACAGAAAAAAAACATTGTTAAAAACCTAAGAATGCACCTACAGAGCCACGTACAAAAGACTAAACCCACTGACTACTGGGATCCTCGGACACCCCAAACCTCCCAAGTAACAGGCAGGACACGTAGAATTGAACTTACTTGCATTCTCCACCAAAACTTTGGGCATGCGCTGTCGGTTCATGAGGAGTGGGAACGGGTCTCTTCCGTTGTTCCGTTCGTGGACCTCGCGGATCTCCACGGTGTCATCCATGAGATAGTAATGAATGATGTAGTGACGACATTCCCCAAACAAGCTATCCGTGTCGTCCCAGATCGCGTAGAATCGCAGGACCTTTGAGGAGTCCAAAGTGGTGACGTTAGACTCTAAAGCAGAGCTTTAGCTCCACTGCTTTCATATGTGTCTACCAGACAGTGAAGGACAGTAGCTGAAACACTTTCTGACAGGAAATTAGAAAAAAATCAAGGATACACAAATATCCAAAAAATCATGTACTACATTTCATCAGCCAAGAAGAATCACACAAGGCTTCTAAGTTTGTGCCGAGAAAGAAGCGCTTACTTAGGCCCCAAATATTAGCCTGGGAAAGAGAAGCTGAATTAAAAAAAAATAGAATAGTGGGGTTGTCTTTAAAGGGATTTATGCATAGTAACAAAAAACCATGATAAATTGTGTGTCTAGAACTGGTGTGGAAAAAATTCTCATAATCAGCCTATCTTTCTTCTGTTCCATCAAAACGTATCCACTGGTAATAGGATGGACAGTATCTTCTAATTTAAAGTAATAGCAGAAATCCAGGTGTGGTGGTTCATGCCTGTGATCTACGAGGGTTACAGAGGCAGGAAGATCGTGAGTTCAAATCAAGCCTTGGATACAGCAGACTTGAGGCCAGCCTGGGCTATTTAGTGAGACTTTGTCTCAAAAAGGAAATAAGTAAATTAGTTATTTAATTACTTAATAAAGATCAGTGTGGGGGGTTATACCTTTAATCCTAGAATTCTGGAGGCAGAATATCTGTGAATTTGAAGCTGCCACACTCCCCACCCATAGTGAGCTCTGTGCTAGCCAGAGCTACGTAGTGAGACCCTTTCTCAACAAAATCAACTCACAAACCAAGTAAACGACAACAAAACAACCAACCAAACAGAACAACAGCAAAATCCACAATACTAAATCTATGCTAACGCTGGGTAGAACTTTCTGAGATCAAAAAAGTTAAGCCTTCAGGAAGCTAAGACAAAAAAAAAACTTCAGAGTAATCGCTGTTACTCTTTCCTTTTATGGGTGAAGGAAGATTCAGAACTGCGTCTCTACTGCAGCGGGGGCTAGAAAGCTGGGCCGGAGTCAGAAAGTGCTCAGAGCCTTCTGAACTCGAACGCTAATGCAGGGATACATTTGAGATGGGGTTCCTGGAGAATCGATGAGGATAGCTATTTTAATTAATCTTATTTTACTTTTTTATTTTATTTTAATAACTATGTAGTATCGGAATAAATATATAACAGCTTTAAACTTTCCCCCATATTCATGTAAGCCTACCCAGAATCTTCTGTGAGATTAACTCATTGGGCAGTAGTGTGCAAGGTAGTTTTTATGTCAACTCGACACAAGCTAGAGTCATCAGAGAGCGGAGAGCCTCAGTGGAGAAAATGTCTCTATAAGATCAGGCTGTAGGTAAGCCTGTTAGGTATTTCTTAATTAGTGATTGACTGGGGAGGTCTCAGCCCATTGTGGGTGGTACCACTCCTGGGCGGGTGGTCCTGGGTTCTATAAGAAAACAGGCTGAGCAAGCCATGAAGAGCAAGCCAGTAAGCAGCACCCCTCCATGGCCTGTGCATCAGTTCCTGCCCCTAGGTTCCAGCCTTGGTTGAGTTCCTGTCCTGATTTCCTCCTGTGATGAACTCAGACATAGAAGAGAGGGAAAATAAGCCCTATCTTCCTCAAGTTGCTTTTGGCCATGATGTTTCATCACGACAACAGTAATCCTGACTAAGACAGAGGGTAAGAAGTGGGGGGATTTGAAATGGAAAGAGAGAAGGAGATGCGTGTGGCTCAGGAATTGCTTCACCATGAAAGCACATGGATGGATTTGCATAGCAATGCCACAGATGATGCCTCTATATCTCTAAAGCTAAGGCTGAGGGCCTGCCAGATGGCCTACTAGGTAAAGGAGCTTGCTGCCAAGTGTGACAACCTGAGTTCAATGCCCAGGACCCACAGGATGGAATGAGAGGACCATTGCCCAGAAGTTGTCCTCTGACCTTCTCCAGTAGGCAGTGGCATGCATGGGATGATATACTTACACATCCAAAAATCAATAAAATGTAGTAAAATGTTTAGTGTATCTAAAAAATAGAAATCTAGGCGCTCACATACTTTTAGCCCTACATGGAACCGCTGTGTGATGATGGTTAGATTCTATGCAGGCTATCAAAGCTGCTTCCCCACAAACACACGCCCACATTCGAACAGGAGCCAGCCTGCTCGTTTAGGTGGCTTGCCTGTTTGTCAAAGGTGAGAAACTGCTTCAGCTGGTCAAAGTCTGACGGGGTGACGTATTTACGAACAGGTTCTTTCCGGAGTTCGGTGTAAGGGTCCAGAGGCATCTTCTCTGGTGGATTTAATTCGATGCCTTGACTTTCCAAAAATTCCTGAAATTTCAGAGCTAATGTCAACACCTTTCTGAAGGTTTTAAAAGTCATAAATCATGGTCGGAAAATAAGCGTGATATGATACTAATGAGTTGCTGACAGACTGGGCATGAAATAGAGATAGTATCTCCAGTGACCCAAATCTACAATGCAGATGATAGCTGATAACTGCCTGAAGTATTTATTCATATACATATGTGTGTGTGTCTTTGTGTGCGTGTGTGTAGTCACACATACATATATATACATACACACATATATGTATATATACAAACATACAAACTTATATCAACCAAGTTATTTGTTTAGGAGCAAAATTCCGGCATTGTTTGAAGATAAACATCTAAAATCCAAAAGTTCACAAAATACATGTTTCACTTTTGCTATGGAGGCGAGTTAAGGCAAGTTAAGATGGAATAATGTTTCTAACTCACTTAAAAAATAAGTATATAATTACTTGTTAAAAAGCCAGGACAAATTTGGCATTGGTTCCCTAATGTTTATACTCCATACTGAAGAGAGGCGCACGTGCGCGCATTCGCACAAACACTAACCTGCTAACCTGTAACTCGCACACAGTCAGCTGTGTCCTTCCCCATACACCAGTGAATGGCGTGATTGATTGTATTCCACCAGCTAGAATGTGCTGTCGCGTCCCGGCCCACAGAGAAATTCACTGTACCTGAGTGAATCGGTCACAGTCAACAATGCGGAAGGTTTTGCCATAAACTGTAAGGTTGATTCCGCGGTTGAGGTCCTTCCAGTGGTAGTGGTCACCCACATCATTCTTGGCGAGCCGCTGGCGTTTGATTAGCTTGCCTTGTGGAATCCCAGAGTTCTCCACGACAGGCTCAACGACGGACATGCTGTCATCCTCTAGGTAGTAGTAAATGTTCACCCTGCGGATTCGGTAATGCTCCTCCGTTGATATGGGGACGTCTTCCTGGAAGTAGGCGCTAAATTTCAGCACCTGTAACACCCAAGAGGTTTCTCATTGTCATTTGAAGGATCCCAGCCACTGTCCTTAAGAAAGAACAATGCAGGAAGAGTGGAACTAGTGTCCCGCCATAAACTCATTGGGTGGCATCTAAAAAAAAAAAAAAAGCAAAAGAAAAAGAAAAAGAAAATGTCCTCACAGTGTTTAGAAACATTTGTGTTCTATAGAGACAAAAGCTTAATCTTCTGAGGATCATGCATTCAATGTGAAGTCAGAATAGCTTATTGAGTACACATTTAAAATATTAAACCACAACTTAAAGGGCCAGTAAATATCTTCAACAAAATTATTGAGGGAAACTTCCCTAACCTAAGGAATGAGATGCCCATAATCACACAAGAAGCCTACAGAGCACCAAACAGACTAGATCAAAAAAGAAATACCTCATGTCACATAATAATCAAGACACAAAATGCACAAAACAAAGAAAGAATTTTAAAAGCAGTAAAGGAAAAAGGCCAAGTAACATATAAAGGCAAACCTATCAGAATTACACCTGACTTCTCACCTGATACTATAAAAGCCAGAAGATCCTGGACAAATATCATACAGACCCTAAGAGAACATAAATGCCAGCCCAGGCTACTTTACTTTACCCAGCAAAACTCTCAATTACCATAGATGGAGAAACTAAGATATTCCATGACAAAACTGAATTTACACAGTATCTTCCCACAAATCCAGCTCTACAAAGGATAATAGCAGGAAAGCTCCAATACAAGGAGGGCGATCATATCCTAGAAAGAGCAAGAAAATAATCCTTTTCCATCAAACCCAAAAGAAGATAACCACACAAACGATGTCTCCACTATTAGCAAAAATGACAGGAAGCAACAACACCCTCTCCTTAATATCTCTTAACATCAATGGACTCAATTCCCCAATAAAAAGGCATAGGCTAATGGACTGGATACACAAACAGGACCCAGCTTTTTGCTGCTTACAGGAAACCCACCTCAGTGACAAAGACAGACACTACCTTAGAGTAAAAGGTTGGAAAACAATTTTTCAAGCAAATGGCCCTAAGAAACAAGTGGGAGTAGCCATTCTAATATCGAATAAAATCGACTTCCAACTTAAAGCTATCAAGAAGGATAAGGAAGGACATTTTATACTTGTCAAAGGAAAAGTCAACCAACATGAACTCTCAATTCTGAATATCTATGTGCCAAATACAAGAGCATCGACTTTCATAAAAGAAACCTTACTAAAGCTCAAAACACACATTGCACCTCACACAATAATAGTGGGAGACTTCAACACCCCACTCTCAGCAATGGATAGATCATGGAAACAGAAACTAAATAGAGATACAGTAAAACTAACAGAAGTTATGAACCAAATGGACTTAACAGATATCTATAGAACATTTCTAAATCAAAATATATCTAAAGCAAAAGAATATACCTTTTTCTCAGCACCTCATGGTACCTTCTCCAAAATAGACCATATAATTGGGCACAAGACAGGCCTCAACAGATACAAAAAAAATGATATAATTCCCTGCATCCTATCAGATCACCATGGTCTAAGGCTGGTCTTCAAAAATGACAAAGACAATGGAAAGCCCACATTGACATGGAAAATGAACAACACCCTACTCCTTGATAATCAGGTAAGGGAAGAAATAAAGAAAAATTAAAAGCTTTTTAGAATTTAATGAAAATGATGACACATCATACCAAAATCTATGGGATACAATGAAAGCAGTGCTAAGAGGAAAATTCATAGCTCTATGTGCCTATAAAAAGAAACTGGAGGGAGCATACACTAGCAGCTTGACAACACACCTGAAAGACCTAGAACAAAAAGAAGCTAATACACCCAAGAGGAGTAGACGGCAGGAAATAATCTAACTCAGGGCTGAAATCAACCAAATAGAAACAAAAAGAACTATCCAAAGAATCAATAAAACCAGGAGCTGGTTCTTTGAGAAAATCAACAAGGTAGATAAACCCTTAGCTAGACTAATCAGAGGGGAGAGAGACAGTATCCAAATTAATAAAATCAGATCTGAAAAGGGTGACATAACAACAGAAACTGAGAAAATTTAAAAAAATCATCAGATCCTACTACAAAAGCCTATACTCAACAAAATAGGAAAATTTGGATGAAATGGACAATTTTCTAGACAAATACCAGTTACCAATGTTAAGTCAGGACGAGATAAACCATCTAAACAGTCTCATAATCCCAAAAGAAATAGAAGCAGTCATTAAAAGTCTCCCTACAAAGAAAAGTCCAGGACTAGACGGTTTTAGTGCAGAATTCTATCAGACCTTCAAGGAAGACCTAATTCCAATTCTTTTCAAACTATTCCACAAAATAGAAACAGAAGGTACACTACCCAATTCATTCTATTAAGCTACAATTACGCTCATACCTAAACCACACAAAGACCCAACAAAGAAAGAGAACTTCAGGCCAATCTCCCTTATGAACATTGATGCAAAATTACTCAATAAAATTCTAGCGAACCGAATCCAAGAACACATCAAAACAATTATCCATCACGATCAAGTAGGCTTTATCCCAGGAATGCAGGGTTGGTTCAATATTCGAAAATCCATCAATGCAATCCATTATATAAACAAACTCAAAGAAAAAAACCACATGATCATCTCACTAGATGCTGAGAAAGCATTTGACAAAATTCAACACCCCTTCATGATAAAAGTCTTGGAAAGGTCAGGAATTCAAGGTCCATACCTAAACATAGTAAAAGCAATATACAGCAAACCAGTAGACAGCATCAAACTAAATGGAGAGAAACTTGAAGCAATCCCACTAAGATCAGGGACTAGGCAAGGCTGCCCACTCTCCCCCTACTTATTTAATATAGTATTGGAAGTCCTAGCCAGAGCAATTAGGCAACACAAGGAGGTCAAAGGGATACAAATTGGAAAGGAAGAAGTCAAAATCTCACTATTTGCAGATGATATGATAGTGTACTTAAGTGACCCCAAAACTTCCACCAGAGAACTCCTAAACCTGATAAACAACTTTAGCAAAGTGGCTGGATATAAAATTAACTCAAGCAAATCAACAGCCTTCCTCTACTCAAAAGATAAACTGGCTGAGAAAGAAATTATGGAAATGACACCCTTCACAATAGTCACAGATAATATAAAATACCTTGGTGTGAACCTAACCAAGCAAGTAAAAGACCTGTATGACAAGAACTTCATGTCCCTGAAGAAAGAAATCGAACCAGATCTCAGAAGATGGAAAGATCTCCCATGCTCATGGATTGGAAGGATTAATATAGTAAAAATGGCTATTTTGCCAAAAGCCATCTACAGATTTAATGCAATCCCCATCAACATACCCACTCAATTCTTCACAGAGATAGAAAAAGCAATCTTAAAATTCATTTGGAATAACAAAAAACCCAGGATTGCAAAAACTTCTCTCAGCAATAAAAGAACTTCTGGAGGAATCACCATCCCCAACTTCAAGCTGTACTACAAAGCAATAGTGATAAAAACTGCATAGTATTGGAACAGAGACAGGCAGGAGGATCAATGGAATAGAATAGAAGACCCAGAAATGAACCCCCATACCTATGGTCACTTGATCTTTGACAAAGGGGCTAAAACCATCGAGTGGAAAAAAGATAGCATTTTCAACAAATGGTGCTGGTCCAACTGATGGTCAGCATGTAGAAAAATGCAAATTGATCCATACTTATCTCCTTGTACAGAGCTCAATTCCAAGTGGATTAAGGACCTCCACCTAAAACCAGCTACACTGAAACTAATAGAAGAGAAACTGGGGGAAAGCCTGGAACACATAGGCACAGGAGAAAAGTTCCTGAACAGAACACCAATGGCCTGTGCTCTAAGACCAAGAATTGACAAATGGGACCTCATAAAGCTGCAAAGCTTCTGTAAAGCAAAGGACACAGTCAATAGGACAAAGCAGCAACCAACAGATTGGGAAAAGATCTTCACCAACCCTACATCTGATAAAGGGCTAATATCCAAGGTATACAAAGAACTGAAGAAATTAGACTCTAGACAATCAAAGAACCCTATTAAAAAATGGAGCACAGAGCTGAACAAAGAATTCTCAACTGAGGAAGCTCGAATGGTTGAGAAGCACCTAAAGAAGTGTTCAGCATCCCTAGTCATCAGGGAAATGCAAATGAAAACAACACTGAGATTCCACCTCACACCAGTCAGAATGGCTGAGATCAAAAACACAGGTGATAGCACATGTTGGTGAGGATGTGGAGAAAGAGAACACTCCTCCACTGTTGGTGGGATTGTAAACTGGTACAACCACTATGGAAGGCAGTATGGCGGTATCTCAGAAAATTGAACATAGTGTTACCTAGGGACCCAGCTATACCACTCCTGGGCATGTACCCAAAAGATGTTTCAACATACAACAGGGACACATGCTCCACCATGTTCATAGCAGCCTTATTTATAATAGCCAGAAGTTGGAAAGAACCCAGATGCCCTTCAACAGAAGAATGGATGCAGAAAATGTGGTACATTTATACAATGGAGTACTACTCAGCTATTAAAAACAATGAGTTCATGAGATTCTTAGGCAAATGGATGGAGCTGGAAAATATCATCTTGAGTGAGGTGACCCAATCTCAAAAGAACATACATGGTATGCACTCACTGATAAGTGGATATTAGCCCAAAAGCTCACAATTTCTAAGAAACTACGTATAGACCACATAAAACTCACATAGAAGAAGGAAGACCAAAGTTTGGATGCTTTGGTCCTTTCTAGAAGGAGTATCAAAAGTTTCAACCAGAGCTCCCAAAGTCTAAACCGCCAGCCAGAGAGCACAAAGGGAGGGACTCGTGCACCTGTATAGGGAATTGAGGGTGACCTTGTTAGACTTCAGTGAAAGTGGAGGGCCATGGTCCCAGAAAGTTTGGATCCCCTACTGTGTGGGAATTCGAGAGCAGGGAGATAGGACTGGGAAGATGTTTGGAGCACACCCTCAC